TAATTTCCAATTCAATACTCTCCCCAAATGCCTCCTTCTGAGCCAGCAATTGTGAGTAAATCACATAGAGTGGAGGTGGCAGTAATTCTGCTAAATTATGCTGSTTTAATTTCTTTGTATGCAGAACCCCTAATTGGTGTTGGACAGGCAAGGATGCTTTCTTCAAAGATTTCGAGAGACTTGAAAAGAACTTCTTTCGGTGTGCAATGGTCTCCATAAGGCTTTTCTTGTGTTGCTCCAGTTTCTCATGAAGTTTGCAGAGTTCTTTTCGCCGGGAAAGCTCAAAATTAAGCCACCTTAGCATCAGGTCATGTGCACTGTCTTTTGATAGTACAAATCCTTTAATATCTTGAGGGGCTGAACTGAAAAACTCTTCCTCAGGCACAAGCTCAATATCCGGATACTTTGACTTGAAATCTTTGCGCACCTTTATGGTTTTCACAAAATGAATTTTCTCATACATCAAATTGTGGAGCTGCAATGTAGTGAAATCTACTGGTGCCTTAGCACGTTCTGTTTCTGCTTTAACACRATCCTCTTCTAGCAATATAGAACGATTTACCTTATCCCGGTCATCTATCCGTTGATTCCAAAAAAACTGCTCGCAGCGATACAGCCAGCCTAAGGGGTCTCCGTTGCCGTTGTACGACGGGGATTCCAACCTGCTATACTTGGGGATGACTGTGGCTACCGGAGCGACGACCTTCTGTTCGCCGGACGACTCCGTCAAGTCTGGTTGGCGGCTGTTTGTGGTTACAGCCCCTTTTGGATTCCTCTCCTTGTTAGRGAAATACGATTCCAGCAAGCGTCGCAGCTCCCAGACATCGTCTTTGACCTCACGAACCTCCACGCTGGTTTCCACGAGCCTATGCTCCAGTTCGTGGACCCTGGATGATAGCTGCTCCAGATCTCCCGTGACGGTTGGCTCTGATACCAAGTTGTTATGGGCCTGGGAATAGGATCTCGTCACGGGTCGATCCACGGGGAAAAGCTCCTGTTTTCCCTTGTTCCTCCCCTTCCTAGCTGAACCTATCTTGGCGTCCTAGAGGGT